CTGTCGGGGACCGTGCGCGGGGCCCAGCAGAGTGACGAGAGTGGCACCCAGTCCAAGTTTACCCCTGTGGCCCTCACTGAGTCGAGGGTGGGCTCCCTCCTTGGGGACACTGACTGACAGGCGCTGCCCTGCCAAGCCACAGTGTTCACGAAGCACTCCGGCCAGGGTGTAAAAGGCCAGCAGCCCTGCATTTGTGGGCGATTGGGCAGGTGCTGAGGAGCCCTATTGACGTATTGGTTTACGCGGGGGGCGGGGGGGGGAGGGGAGGGACTGCTAATGTTACTGCCAGCAGTCAAACCCACCAGCCAGTCCGCAGGAGGAAGATGAGGCTGACCCCATCAAGAGCTACAGCCTCAGAAACCCTCAGAAGCAGTTCTACCCTGTTCTGTAGGGTCGCTGGCAGGCGGAACACACTGAAAGGCAGTGAGCTTCAGTTGGGGGGCTGGAGAAGAGGGATTGAGCTGCAGGTGGAAGCCTGCTCCCAGGTTAATGCCCTTGCCCACAGGGACTTTCTGCTTCGAAAGCCAGCTGGCAGTTGAGGATGGATGTCCAGTGGGCTGACCACAAGCTACTGACCTGTGTCTGGGGCCTGGAAGGCAGGAAAAGTTCCCCGGGGCTGGGCTCCTGCCCCCTTTTTTCTTTCCCTCCTTCATTCTTGCCCAAGCATGGGTCTTGGGACCTGCCTTAAAAGCTGTGTTTGAAAGGGCTGGGATTCCAGCCTCCCCCCAGCTGGGGAGAGATGGGAGCAAGAAGTTCCTCTCACACTCAGCCCCCCTTGGACAAAGGAAAGAGGTGGTGGCTTGTGTCCAGGGGCAGATAGGGCCCTGGGAGCTGGTCCCCTGGTGGGGTGGCAGCCGCCCCTCACTGCTGACTTGCTTCCCTGGTAGGAGAATATCATGAAATCCAACATTGATAAGAAGTTTTCGGCCCATTATGATGCCGTGGAGGCAGAACTCAAGTCCAGTACTGTGGGTGAGTGGGTGTCTGTTCGTCCCTTCCTGGCCCAGGGTTCCCTTCCATTCTGGCTCTGGGTCACTGCCCCTCCACCCACCCCCTGCCAACATCTCTGCTCAGGTCTGGTGACCCTGAACGACATGAAGGCCAAGCAGGAGGCACTGGTGAAGGAGCGGGAGAAGCAGCTGGCCAAGAAGGAGCAGTCAAAGGAGCTTCAGCTGTGGGTCCCTCCCCGAGACCCCTGAGACCAAGCTCTTCCTGAACCCTGCGAGTGGGGGGGGGGCGCACTTCCTGCCCTCGGGTGGGGCTCTTGTGCCTACCTCTGGGTCCTCCAAGTGGCATCATTTGTCAGGCCCTCTCCTCTCACAGCTGTGTTCTCTCCTGTCCAGGTTGACCTCAGTGTCTTAGCCAGTGGGGCTTTGATGAGGGGCGGGGGGTGTCCTAAGGTGTCCTAAAGTGAGGACTGCCACTGGCTGGCTCTGTAGGAAGCTGGAGAAGCTGCGAGAGAAGGAGCGCAAGAAGGAGGCAAAACGGAAGATCTCCAGCCTGTCCTTCACCCTGGAGGAGGAGGAGGAGGGGGCCGAGGAGGAGGAGGAGGCTGCTTTGTACGAGGAGGAGCTGGACAGGGAAGGTGAGGGGGCTCTGGGGGAGCAACGTGGCCCCAGCCGGCCTCTGCTTCCTGCTGTCATCCCGGTCCCAGGCTGCAGGCCAGACTTGCAGGTTGCTGTGGGTAGGGGTATGGGGTAAGCGAGCTCCCAAGAGAAGGTGCTATGCTGAGTAGACTTTAGGCAATGATGTAGTATCACTACTGCGGCAGCCACAGGCTGCACGTGGCCGCTGAGCATGGCCTTTCTTGCTCCTGTGCCTTGGAACCGAGAGATTAATGGTTTAATCCATTTCAACAAACTTGAATGTGGTCATGTGCAGTCAGTGACTCCCGAAAGTCTCCAGGCACAGCTCAGGAGAGCCTGGAAGCAGGAAGGAGGCAGAGGTGACAGCCATGTTGGGTTAGACCTTCAGGAAGGTGGACTTTCCTCAGCAAGAAGATTGAGTGTGTGTGTGCGTGTGCGACAGTTTGATGTGTGACATTGGTCCAGGCCTCAGAGAGTGTGAGGCAAGCTGCCAGCTGTTTAGAAAAGGGAAGTGCTGGTGCCTGCGAGTGGCAGGAGGGAAGTGAAGCAGGTGAGGGTGCTGGATGCCTGGGGAGACAGGCAGGTGAAACTGGGCATGTGGGAGCCGCCTGTGGCAGGGCAACTTGGCCTGTTCAGAAGCCATGGAGTAGAACATGGAAGAAGTTGCCAGCATTCGGTGCTATATCGTCAGTTCAGACTCTTACTGATCCTGTGTGCCACAGGACAAAATACTGTGCCATCCTCGCAATTGTGAGTACCCACTGTATCAATCCATCTTATTGAGACTCTGTCTGTTTCGCTGCCCCTCTACTTTTCAAGCATGAGCTCCTCTTCCATGGACTGGTCTCTCCTGATGACATGCCCACAGTGTGTGATATAAAAGTGTCACCATCCTCACTTCTAGCTGTACTTGTTCCGAGACTGACGGGAAGTATTTCCCCCAGTGTCTCCTGAATGTGCCTCGCCCTCGCTTCTTCCGCTAGAGGTTTCCCATCGAGGCCTGGGGACAAGCAGGAGTCTTTCCTAAGCTACCCCAGGGTAGAAATGTGCAGCTGGGCTTAAGAACCCTGGCCCCAGAATTCTCATGGACGCACGCATACGTGCGCATGTACGTACGTACATGTGCACCAGGCATCCTGGGGCCCACGGCCGGCCTCCCTGCCTTTCATGGTGTGACCTAAGGCTCTGCCGGCTCGTGGAGCGGGGCCCACAGAAGCAAGAACTTTTTGTTTCCCTCGAAACTAAACAAGGTTTTTGGCTAAAACATCTGAGGACATGACCAAGATTTACCCTTTTAGGACAGACCGTTCCAGTGACACTAATTGCATTCCCCACACTGTCCAGTTCCAGGAGTGTTTCAACCCCCTCCAAACCCTGGAACCCTCTAGTCTCCTGTCTTTGCGACTTGGCCTGTTGGGAGCCCCTTATAGACACGGGAGCAGAGAATAGGTGTCTGATCAGCTGGCCTTGTCAAGTTGGAGTGTGAATCAGGACAGAGGCTCCCCAGCTCACCACCTGGGCTACCTGCCAGGGTCAGAATGGAGCGCCTGTGTTCCAGGAGCGCGTTCTGTGGGCCAACCTCTAAGTTATCCTCACCTCTCGGCTAGCTGAGAAATGCCACAGTGAACACAGGTGTGCCGGCTGCAGCCTTCACATCGTTTGGTGTCCAGGACTGGGGTTACTGGGTCTTATGGTAATTCTGTAGTCATCTTTTTGGTTGGCTTAATGTGTTTCCATGTGACAGCTACTACACACATTGTTCAGTGACACAGTTGGGTGATGTATATCACGGTGTGTCAGCTGTGTCTGGTACTCTCCTTTCCCTGTCCCCACATCTTCTTATCTTTGCTTTTGACCTCAGGGGACAGGCTCGTTGAAAGAGTGCCTCAGGGAGCTCCCCCTGTTTAGCTGGCTTTTTTTCTTTGTATATGATCCTGAGTTCTCCACTTTCCCCCCTCATTCTATTCAGTACCATCTGTCATGGCTCTGATCAGCACGGGCAGGGCTGGTAGTCTCTTCTGGGCTGAGGCTGAATGAGGTTGATGATCTTACTCTCTTGCTCCTGGTGAGTAGAGACCTCTAGTTGTGTCTTAGCTGCGTGCAGGCTTTTCAGACCTCAGAGGTGAGTAGCCACTTTAAAGTGTACTTTAAAGAGAGTACTCACTTTACTAGGATGGAGAACATGATTTTGGGCAGCCATTATGCCAGTTAGCTGAATTGTCCCAGCTTTCAAACTCAGCAAACCAATCTTGGTTAGGACCATGGAGCATCAGTAAGTCTTGTGTTCACTCCTACTTCTCCAAGGATCCCCGGTGGGTGGTGCAGTGGTTAAAGTGCTTGACTGTTAATCAAAAGGTCTGCGGGAGAAAGATGTGACAGTCTGTGGCTGTCAAGTTTGTTGGGTTTCTTTTAAGAGAATAATATTGGCAGACACTTGACTTACCATACAATGTAACCATTCAATCATATTAAGATTTTTGCAGTCATCCCCACAATCAGCTTCAGAACATTTTCTTCTCATGCTCATGGTCGTGAGCTTCCCATTTCCCTCCATCCTCCCCTACTATGCCCCTAGATAATTATTAACCCATTTACTGGCCCCATAAAATGTCCCTATCCTGGACTTCATATACTGAAAAGCATACAAAACAAAAACACCAAGCAAGCAAGCAAACAAAACCAACAACAGTGATTATATAAAACATAGAAAAACCTCAATAAAAAAGAAAACAGAAAATATTAAAATCAACTTTAAAATGGGTCAAAGGAGATCAAATAATAAGGTATTACATTTTAATCTAACTACATCTGCCATAATCAAATTTACAGTGCTCTCTGTCTAACAGCAAGGCTATTTACATAACTGGACTATGCCCAGAGGGAATTTATTGGACGCTTAGTCCATGTGGGGACTCTGAAAATGGATTTTGGACTTCTACTTTCATCCACAGCCTTCTGCAAACCGGGTATTCAAAAATTACATTCTGATATCATTCCCTCCTTTGGATTTGGATTTTATCTGAATGCTTGGATCACACAGGCTAATATGCTTCTTCAATGTGAACTTGGTTAACAGTGCTGCTGTAAAGCTTTAACAGCCTTGGAAGCCAGTTCTATTCTCTCCTATATGAGTTGGAGCTGACTCCATGGCATGAGTTTATGTGTTTATGTAAACACACACACATACACATACTTTGAAGGGACCCGATGATGACGTGGTTTAAATACTCAGCTGCTAAATAAAAGTTTGGTGGTTGAAACCCACCAACCTACTCCATGGGAGAAAGATGTGGCAGCCTGAGCAAAGATGACAGCCTGGGGGAATCTTAGGGGACAGTTACCCCATATCGTGTAATGTTCCTGTGAGTTGAACTTGACTTGATGGCAATAGGGCATTCATCTTGACGTGGCTCTCCTCTTCCTTATGTACAGCCCTGTACCTCCCAGCATCCCAATATGCTCATATCTCCTGGTAGGGACTTAGCACTCATTTTAAAGTTGGTTGTGCCACATTCAGGGCCACTTTACCTATCTGCAAACAAACAAAACCAAGCAAGTACCTGCGCTCTGAAGTGCAAGTCCCTTTCCCTGGTTTTCCACAGCAGCTGCTCCAGCTGACACTCACTAGCAAGGCACACAGATCCAAACTAGCTCACATCCTCCCCAGCACTTGTGATTGTCGTTTTCTGAGCATGGCTGTTGATGGGGCGCAGTGGTACCTCAGGTTTGATCACTATTTCCTTTGTGGTTAATGATGTCAGACTTTTAAAAATATCATTTTATTGGGGGCATGTACAACTCATCACAATCCATCCATCCATTGTGTCCAGCACATTTGTACATTTGTTGTCATCATCATTCTAAAAACATTTGCTTTCTACTTGACACCTTGGTATCAACTCATTTTTCCCCTCCCTCACCGCCCCCTCTTCCTCATGAACCCTTGATACTTTATATATTATTATTATTTTGTCATGTCTTACACTGTCTGACGTCTCCCTTCATTCACTTTTCTGTTGATCGTCCCCCAGGGAGGGGGTTATATGAAGATCCTTGTCATCAGTTCCCCCTTTCCACCCCACCTTCTCTCCACACTCCTGGTATCGCCACTGTCACCACTGGTCCTGAGGGGTTCATCTGTCCTGGATTCTCTGTGTTTCCAGTTCCTATCTGTCTGTACCAGTGTACATCCTCTGGTCTAGCCGAATTTGTACGGTAGCATTGGGATCATGATAGTGGAGGAGAGGAAGCATTTAAGAACTAGAGTAAAGTTGTATGTTTCATTGTTGCTACATTGCACCCTGACTGGCTCATATCCTCCCCGCAACCCCTCTGTAAGAGGATGTCCATTTGCCTACAGATGGGCGTTAGGTCCCCACTATGCACTGCCCCTCACTCACAATGATATGATTTTTTGTTCTCTGATACCTGATCTCTTCGACACCTCATGATCTCACAGGCTGGTGTGCTTCTTCCATGTGGGCTTTGTTGTTTCTCAGCTAGATGGCCGCTTGTTTATCTTCAAGCCTTTAAGACCCCAGACACTATATCTCTTTTTTTCTATTTATCTAAAAGATATTTTTAATACTTTTATTGGGGGCTCCTACATCTCTCATCACAATCCATACATTCCTCCAGTGTGTCAAGCACATTGGCACATATGCCGCCATCATCATTTTCAAATCATTCTCTTCCCACTTGAGCCCCTGATATCAGCTCCCCATTTCCCCTGACTCCCCAGCCCGTCCTCCCTCACAAACCCTTGATAAGTTATAGATTATTTTTTCCATATCTTACATCATCCTCCATTGCACCCCACCCACTTTTCCATTATTTGTCCCCCTGGGAGGGGGCTCTAGGTTGATCCTTGTGATCGATTCCCCCTTTCTCCCTCCACCCTCCCCTAATCTTCCTGGTATCTCTAGTCTCCTTGTTGGCCCTGAGGGGTTTATCTATCCTGGGTTCTGTGTGTTGCCGGCTTTTATCTGTAGCAGTGTGCATGCTCTCTGGTCTAATCTGATTTGTAAGGTAGAATTGAGGTCATGATAGTGGGGTAAAGGAAGCACCAGAGAGCTAGAGGAAAATTGTGTGTTTCATCGATGCTATGCTGTACCCTGACCTCATCTCTTTCCTGTGACCCCTCTGAGCGGATGTCTACAGATGGGCATTGGGTCTCCACTCCATGCCCCCCCTCATTCACATTGGGTATGGTTTTATTCTGGGTCATAGATGTGTGAGAGCAGATCCCGTCTGTACCTCATGGTCACACAGGCTGGTGAGAGCAGATCCCGTCTGTACCTCATGGTCACACAGGCTGGTGAGAGCAGATCCCGTCTGTACCTCATGGTCACACAGGCTGGTGTGCTTCTTCCATGTGGGCTTTGTTGCTTCTGGGCTTGATGGCCGCTTGTTTATCTTCAAGCCTTTAAGACCCCAGATGCTATATCTTTTGATAGCCAGGCACCATAAGCTTTCTTCACATTTGCTTATGCACCCATTTTGTCTTCAGCAATCGTGTCGGGAAGGTGAGCATCACAGAATGCTGGATTGTTAGAACAAAGTGTTCTTGTGTTGGGGGAGTACTTGAGTGGAGGCCCAATGTCCATCTGCAACCTTAATTCTTAACCTATAGATCTGAATACATAGTTCTATACTGCTCTCATTATATATATTCACATATGTACATGCCTATATTTAGGCCTCTATAAATGTCCTTTGCCTCCTGGTTACTTCCTCTAGTTCCTTTTTACTTCCCTCTTGTTCCACCGTCACATTTGGCCTTCATTCAGGTTTAGTAATTCCTCGCTGCTACATTGCCATTGATTGAGCCCCACTAGACATTCTACGACCTTCCTTTCATTGATTTTAGTTCACTTGTTCCCTTGTCTCTAGGTTGGTTCCCCCCACCTTCCATTTCCTTTCTCCCGTATCCCCCAGGAACCATTGGTCCCGTTCTTTTCATCTCCAAATTATTTATCCCGCCTATCTTATCTAGATTGACATGCAGATACATTAATAAATGCAAAAACCAGGCAAAGCCAAATAAAACAGCAAAGGAAGTCAACAACAAAACAATACAACAACAGCAGAAAGCAAGAACCAAATAACAATAACAAAAAGAAAGCCACTGACAAAAGTAGAAAAACCTACAAATAGGTCAAGGTCTGTTTGTTGGTCTTTATGAGTGTTTTCCAGTCGAGTCTGATGGGGTGCCACACTCTGTCTCCAAAGTCTATTTTTGGAATTCCCTGGGTGTTTCAGCACTCGGCTCCCCCTGCTGCTCTGTTGCATGCCCTCAGTGCCTTGCCACAGCGTGATGGGGCCAGACCTCGCACTATTCCTGCACTGTGTCTCCAGTGCTGTCCCCCGCAGCGCCATGGTTCAGTGAGGGACAATGTGTCCCGTGGTGGGGCCGGCCCTATGGTCCTCCCCATGCGTTGTCTGCTCTGAGCAGGAACATCGTCCTCAGGCTTGTTGAGCCAGGATGTCCTCTCCTCCCTCTCCATCCCTTTGCGTTTCTCCCATGTGCTCTAATCCGATGAGCCCCTCTCCCCAAGCTGTGGCCCCAGTGCTGTCCTCTGAAGTGCATTCTTCGAGTGTGTGTGTGTGTCCACATAGTCGGGATTGGGGCCGGCCCCGCGGACCTCTCTATTGGTTCTCTGGTACATGCTGGTATGTTGTATTCACGTCTTAGCGCATCGGATTGAAACCTGGTCTCTTCTCCTTCTGTGGAGATATAAACAATACCCTCCCCTTAGGTGGATTAGTGCCCTGCTCCCCCTATATCTATGTCTTTTTTCCCCCTCTCTTTCCCCCTCTTATTTAGTTGACTGTCATATGTATCCCTGGATTGGGTTTGGCCCCTGCCATAGTTGCTGGACCTCACCCCAGGGATGTATGTATATAGTAGCTTTTCCCCTATGCTCCATTTTTTTAAAAGCTTACCTCAGTGGACTCATGTTGTACTTGTCCTTTTGTGCTTGACATACTTCACACTTAGCATGGTTTCCTCCAGTTCTTGCCATGCGGCAATGTGCTTCATGCGTCCATCACTGCTTTTTAGGGATGAGACGCTGTATCTTTTGATAGCCAGGCAATATCAGCTTTCTTCACCACATTTGCTTATGCATCCATTTGTCTTCAGCGATCGTGTCGGCAAGGTGAACATCATGGAATGACCGTTTAATAATTCTTGCATTGAGGGAGTACTTGAGTGGAGGCCCAATGTCCATCTGCTACCTTAATACTAAACCTATAAATATATGCACATAGATCTATTTCCCCATCCTCATATATAAATTTATTTAGACCTCTATAAATGCCCTTTGCCTCCTAGTTCTTTCTTCTATTTCCTTTTACTTTCCTCTTGTCCCACTGTCATGCTCAGCCTTCACTTGGGTTTCAGTGATTCTGCTCGGTTACATTGCCCTTGATCAAGCCCTACCAGGCCTCCCACACCTACCTCACCACTAATTTGGATCACTTGTTGTTCCCTTGTCCCTGGGTTGGTTAACACCACTTCCTTTCTACCACCTCCTCCTTTCCCATGTCCCCCCGGAACCGTAGGTCCCGCTGTTTTCTCCTCCAGATTGTTTATCCAGCCTATCTTATCTAGAACAAGACAGAAAAACAAAGCAACAAAAGAAAACAAAAAAACCAATGCCAAAAAAGGGAAAAGCCTGTAAATAGTTCAAGGTCTGTTTGTGGACCTTTAGGAGTGTTTGGGGGTCGAGTCTGATGGGGTGCCACGCCCTGACCCCAAAGGTCAGACATCTTTTTATGTGCTTATTGGCCATATCTTTGTTGTTGGTGTTGAAGTTGTGTAAGAGTCCTTGACATATTCTGGATTTTAAATGTTTATCTGATAGATGCTTCCCTACCATTTCCCCCCAGTCTATAGCAGAAGCTCTCCCCATTTGGTTGACAGAGTTCCTTGTTGCGTACAAGTATTCCATGTATCTATTGTTCTTTTGGTTGTCCACGGTTTTAGATTTATCTCTAAGAATCCATTGTCAAGTCCAAGGTCCTGAAGATTTTCTCCTAGTTTTTTTCCTGAGAGTTCAAACGTTTTCATTGTTTTATTTAAATTATAGATCCATTTTGAGTTCATTTGTGCATGTAGCATGAGATACTAGTCTAACTCGATCCAGTTGTCCCAATGCTACTTGTTGAATAGACTGATATTTTTTCATTGAGTGATGTGACATCCTTGTTGAAACTTCTTTGGTCAGAGGGGTATGGTTTCTTTTCTGAACTTTCAATTCTACTGTATTGGCATATGCTAAGGGGCTTCAGAAAATTTGTGGGGAAATAGAATTAAAAGGTCATGAGCTTTTTTTCATGAATTCTTTGAAGTCCCCTCATGTGCGTCCTTATTCTGTACTGTTTTGAGTATTGTAGCTTTATAGTATGTTTGGGAATCAGGAAATATGAGTCTTTATTACTTTTTTAAAGACTCTTTTGGGCCTCATGTCTTTTCATATGGATTTGAGTATCGGCTTGTCCATTTCTACAAAAAAGAGACTAACAGAGTGTTCAGGTAGCCTGATCTCAACTCGAAGAGCCAACTATTCTGGTTCAGTTGTGTGTTCATTGAGGAAACCTAGTCCCAGAGCCCAGGACATTGGCAGGTCCTGGCCTCCCCCTGTACCCCCCTCCCCGGTTCAGGGACCTCACCTGGGAAAAGGGGTGCCCAAACCCTCTCTTCAGCTATTAGGAGGGTCAGATGGCAGAGCAGGTGTGTCACCCTGAGCACAGCTTCTGACACAGGGGCCCTCTATACCCCTTCAGGCATCAGCAGAGTCTCCAGGTGTCTGGTCAGCTACTGGAAACAGTGACCCAAGGTGGAGCTGACCTTGAGTTTGTGGCCCTCATGACCCTGGGCAAGGATACTTCTTAGGGGCTGTACACAAAATAACCTTTGGCCAACATGATGGAGCAAGACTAGGAAGAGAGGCGGGTACTTCCCAGTCAGGCTGGTCCTGGGGTCACTGAGGAGGGGGCGCAAAGCTGAGGTCTGAGTTGGCAGGGGCTGCTAGGTACTGGGGCTGTGGCCAGTTGTGTGAGCTGGGGGCCTCCTGGGATTCTTTCCCTCCAGAGGTGGTTACGAAGAAGAGGAAGCTGGGGAAGAACCCGGATGTGGACACCAGCTTCCTGCCTGACCGAGACCGTGAGGTAAAGCCATCTTGCCATTCTAGACCTGGCACTGACAGCCACCTTGGCCTGAGGCTTGCTCAGGGAGAAGGGTCCGGCAGGCACTGGCACTGTGCAGCCCTGGGCTCAGTCCTGTGCCCCTTTCTTGCCATAGGAGGAGGAGAACCGGCTGCGGGAAGAGCTGCGGCAGGAGTGGGAAGCCAAGCAAGAGAAGATCAAGAGTGAGTTGGGGGGCGCAGCTGAGAGCAAGCCCTAGGTGGGGGTTGGAGATGCAGCAGCAGGTCTGGAACCAGGAGCCAATTCTGCCTCACAGGTGAGGAGATCGAAATCACCTTCAGCTACTGGGATGGCTCTGGGCACCGGCGGACAGTCAAGGTAGGCTGCTTGGCCCAGGCCCCTTGGTCCCAGAGTGGTGGGTAGCTCGATTGTGTCCCTGGTGTGAGCTGTTCTGGCCCTGCCCACCTCGCAGATGAAGAAAGGCAACACCATGCAGCAGTTCCTGCAGAAGGCACTGGAGATTCTGCGTAAAGACTTCAGCGAGCTGAGGTGGGACTTGGTTGGGGCCAAGTGGGGCTGGAGCCCTGGCTGGGGGCACTGGCAGGGTTGGGGCACAGGCTGGCTCCCTCCCTTGGGCTTCCCTGCAGTCCACTTCTCTGTGCAGGTCAGCTGGTGTGGAGCAGCTGATGTACATCAAGGAGGACCTCATTATCCCACACGTGAGGCCCTTCCCTGAGCTTGGGTTGGTGGGTAGCCTGGAGGTGGCCAGCCGGGGTGGGTGGTCACACTGCCACTGTCACTTTCCTGTCCTTTAGCATCACAGCTTCTATGACTTCATTGTCACCAAGGCCAGAGGGAAGAGTGGTGAGTGGGCCCTGCTGCCCCCTCCCCCATCCCCCAATGCGAGCACAAGGTGCATTAGGTGACCGGTGGCCCTTCCTCCTGCAGGGCCGCTCTTTAATTTTGATGTTCACGATGACGTGCGGCTGCTGAGCGATGCCACTGTGGAGAAGGACGAGGTACAGGCGGGGTCTTCCTGGGGGGAGAGTCAAGTGGGTGAGCCCAGGGGCTGGTTGTGAGCAGCAGGCGCGCGCACGCGCACACACACACACACCCCTCCGGCCCCTCCACCCCCCTCGGTCCACAGTCGCACGCAGGCAAGGTGGTTCTGCGGAGCTGGTACGAGAAGAACAAGCACATTTTCCCGGCCAGCCGCTGGGAGCCCTATGACCCTGAGAAGAAGTGGGACAAATACACGGTGAGCAGCTGCCCAGGGTGGCCAGGAGGCTGGCGCGGGTGTGGACTGGCTGGCCCTGTCCAAGAAGTAGCTGTGGCCCTGCCAGCCACTGGCCTCTCTGTTTCCTCCTCTGCCTCATCCTCGCCTTTGCTCCTCCAGATCCGGTGAACACCCGCGGGAGACGGTGAGGCCTGGCCTTTTCTGGCGCCCTCCTTCCCCGAAGTCCGTTGGGGCTGCTTTGTTATTGACAATAAAAAGTGCCCCTTTCAGAGCTGGGGCTTGTGTTGTAAACAAGTGTGAAGTGTATGCTTTGTTTTGTTTTCAGATTTTATTGTTGAGCTCCAATTTGTATGGCATTAAAGTCCTCTTTTGAGACCAGTGGGATTTAGTGCAGTTGCCACCCCAAAGGGAGTTGTTAGGAGGTGCCATCGCGTGGGTACACAGAAGGAAACACCAACCAGCCCGGCGCCACCCTCACCATTGCTCTTATGCCTGAGCCCACGGATGTAGCCTCTCCGTCTGTCCATCTCCTTGAGGGCCTGCCTCTGTTTCACTGCCCTCCACTTTCTCAAGCAGGATGTCCTTCTCCAGGGACTGGTCTCTCCTGACGACGTGTCCAAAGTAGCAGAGACAAAGACTCACCAGTCTCACTTCTAAGGAGCACTCTGGCCAGACTTCTTCCAAGACCAATCGATTGGTTCTTTTGGCACGGTACTTTCCAGTTTCCTCTCCAGCACCAGGATTCAAATACATCGATTTTTCTTCGGTCTTCTTTTTTCACTACCCACCTTTCACACGCATGTGGGGTGATTGAGAAAATACCATGACTTGGGTCAGGCACACCTTAGTCCTCAAAGGAACATCCTTGCTTTCAAATACTCTGAAGAAGTCTCGTGCAGCAGATTTACCTAATGCACTGTCTTTTGATCTCTTGACTGCTGCTTCTATGAACATTGATTGTGGATTCAAGCAAGACGAAATCCTTAAGAATGTCAGCCTCTTCTTCATTTATTTCACCTATTGGTCCAGTTGGGAGGATTCTGCTTTCTTTACATTGAGTTGGATTTTTCCCTAGGGTAAGCTGAGGCAGGCCTATGGGCTCCACAGGAAGCTGGCAAGCAATGCTGGGCCCTTGGCTTCCTCATGCCTTGTGGGAGGGCAGGGAAGAAAGCCCCTGGTGGGGCTTCCACGGGGCTCTGCATTGAGAAGCTTAGCTGAGGGGTAGACCTTGCAGGTGGTATGCCCAGAGGTCTTTGCTGGCATGCCTTCATTTGCTGACTGAGTGGCAGCTTGGGCTCCTGCTCTGTGTCTGCTGAGGGGCCATTGGGGTCAGCTGGGAGACAGAAAAGGCAGCAGAGGCGAGGGGGCCTCAGGACCCAGTAGGGGCGCAGGGTGATGAGGCCTGACCCTAGCTACTGGTGGTGAGAGTGAAATCTGAGGACCTGAATGAGGCCTTTTGTTGGGCTCTCAGGAGGACTGGGGCGGGGGGATCAGATCACTGGCCTCCCTCCGCGCCTCCCTCCCCCCAACTTCTGCCCTTTGAGCAGCCACTAGAAGAGCAGCCTTCTCTCACCCAGCGCTGTGGCTTCTGGGAAACAAGCTCTTGAGGACTGTTCTGGCTTGAAGCCCTGACCGCTGGCCCTCTGAGTGGACCTTGTGCAAAACATCTGTGACAACAAAGGGGAAGAGTTAACGTGAGGGGCGGTCTATGACTGGCAGACATGGCAGGAAGGCTGGAGACCGGGGTGATGCAACCACAAGCCAAGGAATGCCCAGCATCACCAGAAGCCAGGGGGAGAGGCAAGGAAGGACCCTTTCCTCAGGGCCAAGGGGGTGAGGAGGGCCTGAGATGTTCTGCTTTGTTAGGGTCAAGATCAAGTGGGGAGAGGGGCCTTCCGAGAAGACCCCTTTTGTGGCCCTATGGGTGGACCCAGAGGTGGGGGGGGTGGCTTCTGGTCCCCAGAGGGGCAAATGTGAAAGGATTGGAGGCCAGTGCAGGTGAGAGACCAGGGGCCACCTGGGGCCCTTCCTGTGGAGACTTGGAGCTGTAGAATCAGGAGTTCAGAGGACAGAGGCTCCAGGAGAGGGCGGCAGAGTGCCTTCTGGAGGGCCTGGGAGGGGGGCTGCTGTTTCTCTGACTTTTGATCACACCGCGTCAGGCTTGTGTGCCTGCAGTCACACCTCAGTTGGAGACGCCTGCGTCTGCGAGCCTAGCCGGGATGAGAAAACGCCTTCCTTGCACCTCCTACTGCTCTGCACCTCGCTGTTGGCACCTAGAATGGAGCTGCAATAGCCCTGGGTCTTTCCATATCTGGCCACAGAGCCGGCCCATTCTTTCTATTTTAAGTGACTGAGAGAACAGCCTCAGAGGTTGGCAAGCTCCCTTCCCTGGGGCCTGGCCCCTTTCGCAGCCTCCCCAGCTCTGGGAGGGAGTGGAGGTAACACCTAGCATCCCTCCCAGGGTACTGTCCCTCCACATGCAGGGACGTAGGCCAGTCTGCCAGAGGAGCTTGACAGTTGTCTTCTTTTGACTGAAGTGAAGTTCACGTAACAGAGGACTGTCTATTTTCAAGTGTTCACGTCCACGGAGTTTTGTACTTTCACAATGTACTTGCTAAATTGCTGTGCCGCAACTTGTGACCTCTTCATTGCCCCAAAAGGAACGCGTGAACCCTCTGCCCCCTGCCTCCATCTTAGCAACCTCTGCGTGATTTTCTGTCCCTGTGTCTTTGGTGGTTCTGGACAATTCTCTTTTCCCAGGTCTGTAACTCACACGCCCTTTGGCCAACTGTGTGGCCTGCTCTTTGGCCCTCCTGGGATTCTGGGCACGTTTCAGACATGAAGGAGATGAGCCCTTGGTGCTAGAGCTTGCGAATGCCTCCGCTCTTCGCCGGGAAAAGGTCCTTCTTAGGTAGCGGGACTTTTCCATCTTTTATGACTTCTGGGTTTTCAGTCCAGGTTAGAAAAATCTGTGATCTACTGTGGAAGGGATTCACATGCTTTCTTCCAGGAGGGATTTCTTCCAAGAAACGAGAGAGGATCGACCAGGAGGTGGGCAGGCTCTTGCAGGGGAAAGGGTGGGGGAAGGCCATTACAAGAAACATGAGTTTTTCTCCTTCCGAAAGAGGGACTGTGTCAGAAACCCACACGGGCAGCACTTTGACCCTGTCCTCTCGGGTCGCTATGAGTTGGCATGGACTCGGTGGCAGCGAGTTCGCTTTGTTTTGGTTTATTGGTGGTCATTCTGATGCTAGAGGTCATGGCCTGGACAAAGGTGGATAATAGACTTTGAAGGAAAGCCATTAGGACTTGCTGACATCCCCATACGGGGTGGGGGACGAGAGAAGGAAGAGTCCAGGAAATTGCCAGGATTGGGGCCTGGCAATGCTTGAAGAGAAACAGAATTGGGGGAGCCAATGAAGGGTTCATATTTGGGGCTAAAGACCCCTTGGTGGTGCATTGTTTAGACAGTCGCTGCCCCACGAGAGAGAGGTGGCGGTCAGTTAGATCTCAGAAAGATGGACAGTTTTTGTACTCCTAAGGAGCAGGTCTATTTTGTCCTATCGGGTCACTATGAGTAGAAAGTGACTCAGTAGCATAGGAAAACAACAACATTTGGCAAATGTACCAAGGCCAAAGCTGATTAGTGGTTACTAGAGGCAGAAGAGAGAGCTCTGATGGCATAGTGGGTTAAACACTGAGTTGTGAACCACAAGGTCAGTAGTTCAAATCCACCAGCTACTCTGAGAGCGAAAGATGTGTCTGGGTGCGCCTGTAAAGATTTACAGTCTCAGAATCCCCAAGGGGCAATTCGGCTCTGTCTAAAAGGTGGCTATGAGTCAGAATCAACTTCATGGCAGTGAGTTTGAGTTTTGAGAGGCAGTAGATGAGTCCAGGTAGCACAGTGGGTTATGAGTTGGGCTGCTATCTGCCAGGTCAGCAGTTCGAACCCACCAGCTACTGCTTAGGAGACAGATGCGGTTTTTGGCTTCTGTAAAGGTTACAGCCTCAGAAACTATATCCAGGGGGCAGTTCTACTGTAAGGCCACTAAGAGTTGAAATCAACTCAATAGCAGTGAATAATGTCTGTTGTGTCTTTAAGGGGTAGAAGGAAAGGGGCGAGAGTGTGCTTATTGCTTATGAAGCATTGGGTACCTGCCAGCTGCTGCTGCTGGTAGCATGATGAATCAGGGTTACTGAATTGATCATGTAAAAATGATTGGATTGGCATATGCTGTGTTACAGATCTATATTTTACAACAATAAAAAAAGTAAATTTGTATCCAAGCATGCTGTGTGGAGATTCTATTAGATGTCCAATAGGGGCTGCCAAGTGGAGGGAGCTTGGGAGGCTGGAGGCAGACACTGGAAGGCTGTAGTATTAAATTAAATTTGTTGGGGTGGGGGGCCAGCCCCACCCACTGCTAGTACTACTACCCACGGGTTCAGTAAGCACAATTGTATGGTTGATATATATATTTATTAAAGTCATTGAGAGCATGAGAGATAAAAGAGATATTACAATGATGTAGTCAGACACATTACATGGTAGCATTGCTCACCTCCGCCCCGCTTGGTGGTCCTCGTAGGGGGAACCTGGCTACGAGAAAGGGGCAGCCTTGGGGACCGAGAACGGAGGAGCCTCTCTTGGCCTGAGAGCCAGAGAGGGCCCCAGGAATTGGGGAGAGCCTTCAGCCCCAGAGCTGGGGAGAGTCTTCGGCCGAGGACCAGGGAGAGCTTCTTTCTTTATTGCTAACCAACCATTATATCACTTTAGGGGGACATGATTACAGAATCACACATCACAGGAAGGGGCAGTACAATAGGCATACACATTGTAGGAAGGGGATCTATGATAAGTATAATAAGCGTAACAGGAAGGGATGAGCTAGGGGTGTGCCTATAGGAATGGGAAGGTCTAGGGGTATACATGTGACAAGATGGGCGGACCCTAGATTCATGATGGCAGTCTAATCTTGGTCATCCTTGGGTGGGTTTGACCTCTCTGGTGTCTCCTACAAGGAAACAGACAACTATTATCCTTATCAGAAGGGAGTGGGCCCTACTTGTGGGATAAACAGTGGTATCTGCTTGGTCTAGACAGCTGATAACTCTCAGGGAGAATGACCCCCAATCCACTCCTGATGACCTCCAAGTGTACAGTCATTCTCAAGCAGCTAGGTCTGGTATATATTTGGGGAAGACAGCTTGGGAGAAATCCTGTTTCCCACCGAAGGCCGTCAAAACAGATAGGCTGATGCTCTGGGATGAGATGACATGGCCAAGGGAACCAA